TCCAGTTGATTTTCATTACCAGCAGCGGACAGACTCAAGTGCGGGTCCGCCAAGTGGTGAAATGTGTACACTATTGTCTACGGATTTTCAATATTATTTGCTGCGGTCTCCTGGTCCCGCAGACACCCCCACAGACACGAAACAGCAAGGAGCTGAACCTGAATCTGAACCTGACGCAGCGCTGTCTTGGGCTCATTGTGCGACAGTCGAGGATGTTCATTGTAACCGATTTCAATTGGGCATTTTATTTTATATTTGAATTTTAAAATTCCTTCCGCACCGGCGACAGCAGGCGACAGGAAAATGGACAATTTGTGTTTGTGGCAATTGATTGGCAAATATTGTCCGGCCAAATGGCCAAGGCGAAAGGTTGACTGATTAATACGCAGCGACAGCAAGTCAGGAAAATATTTCTTTTAATTTATTATTGGAGCTCGTCGGATTAAAATCAAAAAAAAAAAAAAAATGCAACAAATTTTGTCAATATATTTGTTGCTTTTTGTTTACTTCAATACAGCTCAAAGGAAGTAGAAAATGGTACAGATTAAGATTTGTAAAAATGACAACAATTAAAATAAATTCGTGGGAATCAAGACGAAGTTTTATGTATACATTAATTACAGTTTTTGGATCACTGCATATTAAGTTCCTGACAACTTTTGCCAGATATAGCTTGATAACCTAGGATAACATGTATCTAAAATTTCTTTGAAAATTTACCTATTTTTCCATACTCAGATTTGAAATATCTCAGAGATTATTAGAAATAACACATTCGAAGTATATTTTTTATAGCTCAGATACATTTTTGATAACTGCACAAAGAATTATGATGTTGCATATGTGCGAATATTTAACTTTTATTATATTACCTGTACTTACTTACAGCTTTAAATAGACTATCCGCCATTTTTACAAAGAGATACCGATTCTCAGGACTTCCAGTAAAATCGATCTTTAGAGGAGCTTGTCTTTATTCTAAATTTAAATACTTTTGGTCTAAAACTATCGCAGATAGATAGATATAGCAATAGTCTCAACCCACGGGTATAAGAGAGTCTATATACCAAGACTCAAGTATCTAAATTTAAAATGGTTTAGCGGACAGTAGAATGGAAGGTCGAAGACTATTGCAAAAAAACAATATAATATTTTCTCTTTGTTAACGACTGAAAAGATACATTTTTGTATTTAAAGATAGCCCGATAGTATGCATCTGCTTAATAAAAGAAACTATGTTTTTGCTTGTTAAAATAATGTTTGGAGTTAACTTTGCACTTAGCTGCTGCCAAGTTGACATGAATGACAACTCATCCATGGCCATATGCACCATTTAAGCGCCTTTAAGTCGACTATAAAAAAGTTGGGCAATTCGTAAGTCGCATGCAAATTACAAGCAATAAAACGAGGCACGTCGATGCTCAAGCAAACTTTGGAGGCTAAGAGCCAGAGATACTCACACAAAATGCGACGCCCCCAAGCCAAAGCGATTATTCTTTATTGTTTAGACAACGATGGCAAGAACAACAGCAACAGTAACAGCAACAACAACAACAACAACAATAACGACAACAATAACGACAACAACAACAATAACATGAAACAGCCGCTTGTAGCAATTCTCACATCATACGGTTGGCATTGAGATTGCGTTTTGGTATTGGAAATTCCCAAGGCTGTCATATGTAAGCACAGCTAGACAGGCACAGAGTAGGAGACACACGCACGCACACACATATTGGGAATATGTAAATTTGTCACCGAGCAAACAAGAAAGGAGTGAAATAATCATAAAAATGTCAAGTCAGACAACGAGAGCAGCTCCCTGCTCGGAACAAAATCCTGAATTGAATTTTTATCTATTGTATAGGCAATAAAGACACATTGTCAGTGCGCCTGTATAAAATTATTATTATTTACTTTTGGGCGGCTGCGGCAAAAAGTTAAAGAAAAAAATAGAAGGGCTCAACCGGGATTTGAACCCGGGACCTCTCGCACCCAAAGCGAGAATCATACCCCTAGACCATTGAGCCGCACATGATCAAAGCAAGCTTAAAACTAATTTTATATTTTTAATCGCTGCAACAAACTTGTAGATACATCTGGCATGCATCATTTATTTTAAATATCAACATTTAAATTACGAATGCATACAACTCCAGCCGGTTTATTTATATTGTTTCTTTTGTCTTGCTCGTTTTTTTAGCTGAAGCGTTCGCCGCTGTTCGAAAAATTTGTTTTTGTTTTTGCTTTTATTAATTGTAGGTTTTAATATATTTTACCCTCATCATTTGGCCGTTGATTTATTGACTTTTAAATGGTGCAGTTTCTCAACACGCAGCTGACTCATCAAATTTGTTTCGTCTTCTCCTTTTTGGGCATGCTTTTAATTTAATTTGAAAACTTTTGCCTGCCCATTTGGCGCATTAAACCCTTTGACCTCCACGCAAAAAAATACGCTGTGCAAAACAAATTAAAAAAAAAAAAGACAAAAGATGCACGCTACAAATTGCCACGCCCTCGCAATTGCCCACACTTGCGTGCAAATGCAATTAACTGGTCTTTCATTTTAAGCCAACCGAAGAAAAAATCTTAAACTAAAGCTGCTAAGTTACCTAATGCTGTCTAGTCGAGTTGAAAAACTTAATTGCTTTATGAAATTTGCAAAGTAAACTTTTTTGTGTTAGTTAAATTGTTGAAGATTTACACAATAATACAATATTATATTGGGTTACATATTTATATTCTATTATTATATAATGTATTATTATGTTGTATTATCATTATATGATTTTCATATTATCAGTAAGTGTACCCCTAACATTTTAATAATGTTCAATTTTATCAAAATAATTTTTGATTTTATTGACTAACTACCTATATTCTATATTAATTCAGTAATTAGGAAGAGAGTGTTCTTCCAAAAAACCGGCTCAGGAAAATGGGGATGAGCTGGGCGCGGCTGCAATATTATTGGGTTGAGTAGGAATTCAGCTTGGGTACTCTAGCTCTAAAAATATGGAAATGATCGATTTTCGTGGTTTTCTAGCCTTCAAATTTTCAATAGTTCTTAGAACACAAAATGCGAAGTAACAAAATACCCGACTAACAATATTTGATAAATAAGAAATAAAATTGACTTAATTATGACGTTGAATATGTATTGATAGCAGTTTAATAAAACTTAAACTGGCCCTAATTTTATTGATAGTACTTGGCCCTAAATATAAGCCAAATCATTTTTTAAAGATTATATTAACATTAAAGGTGCTTAGGTAAAATAGTGTTTAGAAAAATCGAATATTTATCTTTGCATTTTAAAGCCTTTGCAGCTTGTGTTTTGTTGGCCTTGTATTTTTTATTGTTGCCAGCTCAAGTTTTGTATCGTTATAAATCACAAAACTGAATCCAAGGAAGATTTATGAGCTGCTAAATATGCCGAGGGGAGGATTTGAACTGGCCGTTTGCGAACTCCAGCGATTTCGATGGCAAAGTTTAGCCTAACTTTGTGCACATATGAAAATTCAAAATGCAATTATCATATATATTTTAAATGTATGTATAGATGGATCTATGCTATATAGCACATGATGCCTCTTAATGTGAATGTATCTTTGTCGCTGTTGATTTTCACTTTCGCAGATAAACAAAACAAGGTCCTAAATAAACACAGAACGGTCAAAACAAGGAGAAAAAGTTTTTAGAAATAGCCCTGACAGGCAAAAAACAAAATTTGTTTTTTAATTGAAAATTAGCAGCAATAAAAATTGTATTGGCAATATAAATGGAATAGAATAGGTTTCTCTACTTTTGAGATGGAAGACTACACTGAGGTATGTTTATGTATTCCATTTGTGGCAGTATATGAATTGTGTGCACCTCAAGTCAAAGATTATGAAAATTATTCCAATTAATGCCCAAGCACCTTTTTTTGCGCCAAGTTCTCGGGTTCCACTTAAAGGCCATTAACCATTAAAAAAGCACAAGCAACTTTTACACTTTGCGTGCCAAAGGCAACAAAAGCCAACTACAACAACAAACTAACCGAAATGCCAACCAAAATAACAACAGCAACAACAATAACAACAATAACAACAGTAAATAGAGTTTTCTTTATTTATTTTTTCAACAACTTTTTACCTTTTTCCAACTCATTTTCAAGTGCCTCGCTGAGCGCCACTTAGTTTGTTGTTGCTACTGTTTTCGCAGTGTTCTTGTTGTTGTTGGGAAAAGCCATTAGAAAAAGGCTGCTTGAGTGTTAAATGGGTTTGGGCCTTGGGTGCTTGGATGGGGCTAGTAGCATTGTTTTTGTTCGACTAAGTCAACAAGGTCGAGGGTTAATGAAAGTTGGTCGATCACTCAAGCTTCCAGCTCCCGTGGCCATATACTTGTGGCACAGCTTTTTTCAACTCTAGATATCTAATAAGCACATGAAGGTGCAATTATATTTTCGAGCAATTATATTTACGAGCTAGAAGAGAACTTAAAACTTAATACCCTCGTAGACAGTTGCCTTACAGTTCTGCCAATATGTAGTGAGCCTCGTAAAATAGTAGAAATCAATGTATTTGGCTATACATGAAACGACTTTGAGAGCGATTGTTTCTATAGCAGATATATTATAGTGGTTCGATCCGGCCGGCTCTGACATAATATGGAGTCGGAGACATATCCTTCAGTGAGCAAATTATTACACTCTCTACAAGGTTTTAAAAATGTTATTTACTATACGAAGCGATTTCGTTGAATTTGTAGGTCAAGTCGAGTCGCTTAGAAATCGTTTGATTCAGGTGGTACCATTTCTAAATCCATATCCATACATACTCCAGAACTATCCCTTAGATTTGAAGACTTTTTAAGATGTTTAAAAGGAAGAAAGAAGTGTTAGAGAAGCTCAAAATGAAAGTGAAACAGAAAATTCGCACGTCCAAAAGCATTGCAATTAAGAGTTCATCAATTTTTCCTATGACTTCTTATTATTAATATAATTTATTCTTAGCAGCACATATTAGGATTCTTGATATTAAATATAAAAATTTAAATTAAAACTTAATCATAGCGTTGAATTTCTCTCGTTTTTGTTGCTTTAATGCCTCGTGCTTCTTGCGTTCGGCATTCTTGATCAGAATCTCTTGAAATTTGCGGCGTGTGGCTAATGGAACGCCTGTGTTGCGTAGATCTAACTCTTCGAGCATTTTGTTACAGTTTATGATCTTCAGCAAATGCTTGCCAAAATCCTATCAAAGGCAAATTTGGGATTTATGAATTTATTGCCAGTGTGAGCAACTCACCTCGCCCAGATAATTGTTTGATAGATCAATGCAGAGCAATGTCTTCTGCTGGCATATCAGTATCATGAACAACTTGGTAATGCTTTCGCTGATGAAACAGCTGCCCATGTCCAGTTGCCTGATGGGCATCAGCTGCAGCGTGTTAAAGATGGCAGCGGCGCCATCGCTTTGTATGGGATTCAGGCGTAGCACGAGACGCTGGAGGGGCACATGGGTCAAAGTTCGGCTGAGCGTGTAGGCGCCCTCCTCCGCTGGTTGGAGTGGAGTGGAGGTTGACCATTAGCTAAAGAATTAAATATATCGATGTGTCTACATACTAATTTTATTGTTGGTCAGGTCGAGGACAGTCAGAGTGCCAAAGGATTCCTTGCCGCAGGTTTCAAGGAAACAGCGTATGCCCGCATCGCCAACGGCACAGTGCAGCAAGGATAACTCCTTCAGGTGGTGACAGCCCTTGTCCAGGCTATGTGCCAGAAAGCGCAGCTGATACGACAACAACTTCGTATTGTGCAGGCTAAAAGAAGGAGCTGATACTCGGATACAAGAGATTTGCGGCCTCGACGAAGGCAAGCCTTACCAAAACTTGCGCAGCTCGTAGCATTGGCTAAGTCCCTTGGCCAACAGCAATATGTCACGGGCCGTTAGTTGATTGCAGCCTATTTGGTAATTGATGCCCGCTGTCTTCGTGCTGTAGCTCAACCGCAGTCGGCGTAAGTCCGGCAGATTGCTCAGCAGGTAATCAAGCGGAATGTGATCTGTTGTGGATGGGTTGACACACTATGTTATTGTTGAGCGCATTGTAATTTAATGACAATGTTTGCAATCCTTCAAGTTTTTTTTAATGACACTCCTTAAAATTAAGTGATGCATGAACTCAGCCTGAATAATATTCAATAGGAGTTACATTAAACAATCTGTATAAAACTAATTTAATTTGTTTACGTATTCTTTTTTTTTAGGTCGTAAAGTTAAATCTTACTACCTTGATGCCTCGTTTCCACTCAGAGGAGTATTAAATAAAGATGGTTTTTTGAGATGAAAATGTAACTCTCAACTTATATTTTGACTTTTTGAAAGAGCGGGATACGTCTTTTGAGATTAATCGATTGAATCTGGAACTTTCTGCTAACCAATCTTGGACCTCATTTTCCGCTATTTTTCCACTCTTGCGGGTGGAATTTACCAAGAAAACTCAGCGTGTACTTAATGACAAGAGATAACAATTCAGCCTCCTTTCTTTTACCTTGTTTGGCTCAGAGTCGATCTACAAGTTATATATTTCACAAAATTGGATGAAAAAGACAAGGGGTGAATATATTATGTGAATTCGAACAAAGATCGTTCCAAACGCTTGGGGGAAATTGCCAAGCACCTCATCTCTGTGCATCTTCACCACATCAGATAGCTATAGTTAACACTTCAGCCTTAACTTTTTGGGCTGTGCATTGATCCACAATCAGTCAGTCAGTTTCATATACAGAGATTAGGGTATACAAACTCCACTGTGTCAACAGGCACTCACCATTGCTCTCGCTGCCTGGCGGCGGGGGCTGTAACAGATTTATCTCGAGTTGATTTATGTACGCCGCACAGATGTCCAAGGCGGCCTGCACATTGCCATCCTGCTCGTAGTCGCCGGTTTGCATATTTTCAATAAACTCCTGCACATGTCGCTCCATGTAAATGTTAATCCTGCATTGGCGCCATGCGCCAGCGCAGCTCATAGCAGCGCCGCCAGAAGTAATCGTCACGGATGTGAGAGCTGAGCAACTGCAGCGGCAGCTGCGTATCCAGCTGGCTGAGTATATAGTTACGGTCCTGGCGTCGTCGCAGCTGACGGTAGAGCGGCAGCTCTGGGAACAGACAGTCAGACAGTTGTCATCTTGGGTCTTGTGGACTACCCTTACCATTCCAATTGCTGACGATGGCATCGAGCACAAGATGTCGCAGACTTTTCGCTTGATTTGCTTGGCCTTCGTCGGTCTCGGGCTGGAAATGGTCCAATGATTTACTATTGACTTGGGGCAGCTTGACATCCTTGGGATTGAAATAGGCCTTGAAGGTGTCAATAGAGACGGTGCTGGGGAATTCGCAGTATGTGAAATCCATCTAAGGACTTGTCTGCTCCACAAACAATAAACATTAAACAACATTTGTTACGAATAATTACATGGCTGTGGTTAGTCATGGAGACGGGAAATTGTTGCCCGGGCAACTTCTTGTTTGTTTTCAGTCTAGTATTGGTAAACTTTATATAAAATACCATTTCGCAGCAGTCGCCGATTGCAATCGAATCTCAATTAATTGCGGGCTCTTAGAAGAATCAAGCTTATATTAAATAAGAAAGAACAAAAATATTCGTCAAGCCGAAAATTAAATACGCAGCTATTTATGCTGATCTGGAATATATATACTTTATGGGGTCGGAGATGACTATGGCTATGGCTATGCGTTACATATTTTATGACAAAATTACAATACCACAAAACCCAAAATACCAAATTTGGGAAGACAGAAGTGCAAGCTTTAAAAGGGAGAGAGATAATGCGCTACATGTTTATGAAAAAACTTGTAAAGTCCTCTTCTAGGTCCTACTTTTCTACTGCAGGCAGTGAATATGTCAGAGTTATGTATACTTATTTTAATTCGCATATCATAGATGATTTATACATGTGCTAATTTGATTGATTTCTTATAGAATATATGGGTATAGTAAATCCACCTCAGACCATGTTCTAGGCTTGAGCATACCCCAATAAATTCATATCTGAAATATATAGTTTGTTAAGATCAATTTCAACGTATATGTTCACGACAAAACTACCTGATGAATCGGGTACTTTGGAAGTAAATATTCCATGCGCTGATGTCGCCTCAACATGCATTCATGAAAATCCCTAAACTTAATAAAATTATTTGTGTGGCATTCCTCTGGGTTTCCCTTTCTAAAAAGACTCCTTCGTAGATCCATCATAATGGCCCTGTTTTTGTGCGGATTATAATATCTGTGGATCTTTATCCAGTCCATCACCTTGGGTCTATTATAGATTGTAGACTTTGCAAGGCACACTTTATCCAATTCCTTCCTGTTTTTAAATAAAAAGGGAAAATCATTAGATTGACTCCAATGAGAATAGTAACAATTGTATAGATGGGCCAAAAAGTTGCTCATTGATCCATGTATGCAGTTAGTTGGTCACAAAATTAAGTAGTTGTACCTACTCGTATGGGTGATAATTGACGTATGGGTATTTATCCACAATAATCCGTGGGATGGTAACGAGCGAGTGGATGTTAAAACGCGTATCCTCCCACACTTTTCCATAAGTGACACCCCATGGATTGTAGACCCAATTGCCCATGGCATCAATTTTGAATCTGGGCACCGATACAGTCCATTCGCCGTTAGTCTTTGCACTATCCGCTTCCTTACCTCCACCTCCTCCACTTCCTCCACCTCCTCCACCTCCTCCACCTCCTCCACCTCCTCCACCTCCTCCACCTCCTCCACTTCCTCCACCTCCTCCACTTCCTCCACCTCCTCCACCTCCTCCAACTGATCCACCACCACCACCTCCTTCACCTCCTCCAACTGCTCCACCTCCTCCAGCTCCACCTCCTCCACCTCCTCCATCTCCTCCACCTGCTTCATCTTTCTTTGTAGTCTCATCACCGCCTTCTCCAGCCCGGGGTCGCACCAAATCTTTGATGAATTTGGTCAGTTTAGTCGGGCCTGAGGTAGTCGGAGATTTATGTTTCGGAAACATTCGTATGTTATGCCTGTCTTCTGCGACCTCATGATCGTCAAAAACTTTTGTATGGGGCGTAGAAATATTTTGTCGAAGCTTTGTTCCGTATTGCTTTGTGTTATTTGCAGTATTTTTTAATGGATTGGCGTCAATATTACCGAAAAGAATTACCTGTTATCTGAGAGGTAATTGAAGGGATAATTATGCTTAAGTAAGCTACTTACATATACTAGACAGCCGAGGGCAATACTTATAAATAAATTTAGCTCCATGTTTCTACTAAGCCCTGTTGTTGCTTACAGTTTTGAGCAAACATTAATAAAATTTGTTACATGAGCAACTGAAGTCAGAGCCACAGCAAACTAGATGGAAATAAAAATATTGCACTGAGTATGACTAAAACCTACAGTTGACTGTGGAGAAGCTGTCAAACGTGAAAGTATTAAAAATGAAAAAACCTCACTTGCTTGAATCAATATTAAATTTGGGAAATATTCTCCGAATCCGTGTACTCTGCTCATGAGATATGATATTAATTGGTATAAATTTGGTAGAAATAGATATGTATATATATGCAACTTGATAAATATGTGGTCCTTGGAGAGCCCAAATTGTGAATATAAAGTCTCTGGCTCTTCTGATCTTAGCGAACTTTGCGATTGGCAGCTGATGCTGATCAGAAATATATTTGCTCTACCTATAAAAGTCGCTGGAGTGATTTGTCCTAAACACGCTAATAAAAAAGAAAACAAAATAAGCGATACAATTCAATACGGAGCGCCCCAACAAATTCCGCCTTGTCAACCAGACAATGTCTGGGCGCATATTCGAAATGTGGCCAAGCGCAACGTTAAGTGCCATAAAAATAATTCAAAATAAATTGCTTTGCATAAAAATTGGTGTGCATTGTGGGTAAAGGCAAGAAACGAAACTGTTTTATAAGGTAGGTTAAAGGTATAATTTGGCCATAATAATGCGCATCATGAAAATTTAACACACACACACACACACATACTTGGGCTCGCATAGACAAGCTGGGTTATTAATTCTGGCGTCGGATTTTTGCAGGGCCATCGTCGCAAGACATAAATAACGCGTTTTATACGAAATACTTTGCATATTTACTGGCGCCGCACAACTAAGCCATAAAAATTACAAAAATCTTAGACGGCAAAGTCAAGAAGCTCCGTCATGTCAGCTGCGGATTCGGGGCTAAGTCGCAGGTAGATTTTCGGTGTGAATGGCCACAAAAGAAAGCGCCCAAGTCAATATTATTGGCTAACTAAGGCCAGCTGGGGCGAAAGTGGCCCCAATGATTCCGCAGAATAAGCGCTCTGTAATGACATGTAATTATGGTCATAATCGGCTTGTCACTTGGGACATTATCGGCTCGCCCTAAAACGGTTTTGATATGCAAATGTGAAGCTTCAAGATAAACAGGTTTTACTTAACAAGTTGTGGAAGTAAGATAAATAAATAAAATACGTTAATCGGGCTGTACACAGTTTTTCTCTAGCCGAGATGAGATATCCGCGCCACAAACAGATTTTCAATGGAGTATATTCTCGCCTATAGGAAAATAGTGGACTTTGGCATCGCTTTCTTATATTCCCGCACTGGAACTGGAACTCTCTAAGCAAGGTCGCAAAAAAATATATTTACTGTAGATACACCTTACTTGGCATGTTATATTTACAGATTTAAAAATATATTGAACTTTTCAAATATGCAATTTGGTATATGCCCACATTTGTATGCCATATTTATATCCAAGTTTTCTTAAATTTATTAATATATATGTAATGTTTATAAATAGTTTCTAAAACACGGACTTAAACTAAGTACGAGATTGTGTTTTATATTATTGGGAATATGTCTATGAGAAAGATGTCACTAAATAAGCGACATTGGAGAAAACTCAGTTAAAGCTGAAACCTGAAAAATTAACTTTAAACAAACTAAATAATACTTATAGTTCTAATAATAGCAAAATATAAACACTTTTGAAGAATATTCTTTTTTAATTTGTTAAGCTAATGCAAAACTTCATATATTTATTTCTCGAAAATTTAATAATATTTATATTTTATATTTCAACCCAATACATTTTTCATTTAATTGTTAATATAAATAATTGTATATTGATTTCAGAATTGCTAAAATGTATATTTCATATTCAGGCCGCCTCCAAAATCGGACTTGCCCCTGAATGGACCGCTGAGGTGGCGTGTAGCATTTGCTGTGGCATCCAAATTGAAATTGCCGCTGGGCGAGGTAATAAGATTAGCTCTGCCGGTGGCATTCATGGTCGTCATATTGAACTGCGGCACATGGTTGACACCCAGAGCCGCCGAATGGCCGCCGGCGGTTTGCATGTTCAGACCGCCGCCAAATTGATCGTGAGTGCGATTGTGAGTGTGGTACCCGGTTGCATTCAGCGCTGCCTGGTTATTCTGGAGAAGATTCGCTTGTGCGGCGACCGTTGTGCTACTGCCGAAGCCTTGTGTGTGTCCATGCTGCACTGATAGGCCGTGTCCATTGCTGGTAATCAAGTAAGCAACATGTAAGTACAGTCAGTGAGTGATTCTATTGTGGCACCTACGCATTAACAGCTCCATACACGCCTTTTGTGACTGGTCCTGCGCTGCTGTTGGTCGTGGCAAAGACTCCGGCACGTGCATTGACTTGTTCGTCTCCTGTCATTACTCCACATCTCACAGAGGCTGCTCCCGTCTTCGGATCTCCGCTTGTCTGACACTCCATTTTATGAATATTAATTTACTTGGCAGTTGTTGAAGCTGACGCGGTGATAAATACTCTGACGGCTTCTAGGGCCGCAAACAGCTTTTTATACATGTGCAGACAGACGCAAGATACTTGCAGATAAACACATAAAGCACAGACCACAAGCTCGCGGTGCATTCCCGCACACAATCTTTACACGCTTTGACAAATACAAATTCATATATATAAAAACACATTTATGGATAAATATCTGTGTAGTTGCAAGCTTTTTTGCAACCAATTAATTCTAACTGCTTGTGCAGCGAAATTCAAACACTTAGATTAGTTTTCAAATGGATTTATTTGCCGCGCAGGGCACTTATTAGAATTTATAAGTTTTATATTGTTGCTTGGCAGCCAACTCGAATTAGTTGTGCCTAGGTTGCGATCAAACGAAAGACTCACTAACTATGACAATATGTAAAGCGAATCGAAACGAAACTCCAATAAGACGCTCGCCGGTTAGAGCGAAGGGCAGCAATGCAAGCAAAGCAATTCAGAAGGAGAGTGGGCAGCAGCTTACAAAGAGCGCGCAAAAAACTATTTGCTCTTTGGCTGTAATTATGATTATTTTCTGCTGTTGGATGATGTCCGCAGCCGTCGGTGTTATCTCTGCTGTTACTTGACCAAACAATATCCATAAATATATATGTGCTTCCCCCCACATACGAATCAGTATCCGTACATATATATAAATAAACTGTGCGCATGGATTCCCCTAAGAATATGTGAAATATATTAGGTTAAAGTTATGACACTTTATTACATTCTTTTAGATGAATTCACAATCAAAATGTATTTTGAAAGTAGTGAAACTTGACTTAACTCAAAATTAACCCTTATTATTAGTATTAATACCAATGAAATTTTCCAAAAATGTTTCATATAAAAATAATTTGTTTTTGCAGTGTATTCTTTACTATTATATATTCATAATTACATAAAACAATAAAAGCTAAATACATATATTTGAGCATCATTCATCATAAAATTCCATACATCTATGTTTATTTTAGTATATTTGCGTCTAAAATAAATAATACTTTTGAAATTGTTCACTTTTTGTGAATCACACATCTACTTAATTTTAAACTTTTATACAATTGTAACTGTTTGGCCAAAGCGTTTAAAAATGGCGCCGTGGCTTAGTTGGTTAAAGCGCCTGTCTAGTAAACAGGAGATCGTGAGTTCGAATCTCGCCGGGGCCTTTGCGACTGAAATGCGTTGTTCAGCAATTTTATTGCTGCGAGAATAAATAAATAAAGTTTTTCATTATACTCTGCTATATTTTAAATCGAGCTATTCCTAATTTTGAGCATTTTATATTTTAAAATTTCCCAATTCCGGGTTTTAAATAAATATATGTATGTATATAATTATCTACAACTTCCAAAACAAATATTAAGTAGTTTTTGCGGGGCAGACATCTGGCGCCGTGGCTTAGTTGGTTAAAGCGCCTGTCTAGTAAACAGGAGATCGTGAGTTCGAATCTCGCCGGGGCCTTGGCAGCACTATTAGTTGATTGCTGTACAAATTTACTTTTTTTTTATTTCTTATAAAACTTAAAAAACAGATAAGGCGTTTATTTTGTTCCTATATAACATATTATGGAACTTATTCAATTGCATGTACATGATTGAAGGAATGCATCTTTTTGATTACATATCTGACACACATGAGCCTTATAGATTGTTGATTTCCCGTACCGTTCCCATCTGAGCCACAACAAGATACAAAAATTTGCAACGTTCTTGTGTTGCTTTTGTGCGTCTGCATTGATGACAGCTGACAAAGTTTGCGTGCTGCAAACAGCGGACTCGAGCTCCCCTTTATGAGTAACAACATTCATGTCAGCCCACCCACGACACCATATACATTATCCTGCCAGCAGCTGCCACCTGTTGTCCTCGCAGGCGACACTGCATAACGGAAGCCAGAGACACACTGCACGACGGATATGTTCGACAGCATGTTGCGTGACTGTCGGCTGTCTACTGGCCAGTTGGCGGTTTCTGTTGGCTTGGGGTTGGGCGGCAGGGGACCATTTGCTTCTGCAAATGTATCTCATGTCGTCGCCGACGGGCTTTCAATTATTTCTCTGGGGGGGTAGGCTGCAATTAGCCAGAAGCAATATTATTTGTGTCGATTTATTTGCAGTCGTTGGCTTATCTTTACTTTTTATACCCAAACGCACAAGACTGATAATTTCAGTTGGGGGCTTTACACACAATATCAGCACAATGGTTAAAATAATAAATATGTGCATCACAACTTGTGACAATTGCCAACCAAGCTGTATGTAACATATAATATGTGCATACACATTGTGTTATCATTTTTATGGATATAATTTCCAATGTCCTTCCTTTTGTGCGGTTGCCAGCGTGTCCCTTGTGTGTCGGATACAGCAATGTCCTCTTCTAATTTCCTTATGAGCATTAATATGTGAGTGTTGCTGACGATTGGGTTAATCTACGGGACGGCTGGCTGATTATTGGCGGATTACATCGATTAAGTTTGCTTTTATTATTATTTATTAT